GGGATGGGATGGGATGGGATGGGATGGGATGGGATGGGATGGGATGGGATGGGATGGGATGGCATCTCCCTCTTCCGGGTTCCCTGTGACACAGCGCTCCCTCCCGCAGGCCAGAGCCAGGAGGGAGAGCCTGCAGCCGTCCCAGCCTGCCGGACACCCCGGGCGCATCCTGCTGCTGTGACCGGTGACAGCGGAACCCCGGCAGGAGCCCGGGACCGGCAGGGACCCCCCGGCAGCCCCCGCGGGACGTTTCAGGAGTGACCGAGCAGCCAAGAGCGCGGTGGGAACAATGCCAGAGCCCGGGAATGCTGCTGGACACCGGGAGCAGCCCCACGCCAGCAGAACTCAGCCACCCACTCCCTGCTCTGCGCTGAGCCCCCCGCCTTTCCCACCCCCCAAAATGCTTCTGGGGCAGCCGCCCCCGCTTTGCCAAGCCCCCAAATAAAGCTGGCACACCAGAGGGAGCAGATGCGCTTGGGGGGACACACGAAGTGTGGGTGACATCAAACAGATCCACCCCACGCTGGGCTGGGCTGGGTGGCACTGTGGGGACACTGGGGACAACGGGGGTCAGAGCCAACCCGGGGGGTGTCTGCACAGGGGGATTGCGTGGGGAACTTCCAGGGGTGCTGGTCCTGGTGGTCCTTCAGGAATGTCAGTCCAAGGGTTTGGGAGGATCCCAGAATGCTGGATCACAGGGGTGGCGAGATCCCCCAGGAATGCTGCTCCCAGCGGACGTGGGAGCTCCTGGAGGTCCCACAGGGCTCCAGTTCAAGGGAATGGCAGATCCCCAAGAATCCTGGATCACAGGGGTGGGGAGATCCCCAGGAATGCTGCTCCCAGCGGACGTGGGAGCTCCTGGAGGTCCCGCAGGGCTCTCAGTTCAGGAGAATGGCGGATCCCCAAGAATCCTGGATCACAGGGATGGCGAGATCCCCCAGGAATGCTGCTCCCAGTGAATGTGGGAGCTCCTGGAGGTCCCGCAGGGCTCCAGTTCAAGGGAATGGCGGATCCCCAAGAATCCTGGATCACAGGGATGGCGAGATCCCCCAGGAATGCTGCTCCCAGTGAATGTGGGAGCTCCTGGAGGTCCCACAGGGCTCTCAGTTCAGGTGAATGGTGGATCCCCAAGAATGCTGGATCACAGGGGTGGTGAGATCCCCCAGGAATGCTGCTCCCAGCGGACGTGGGAGCTCCTGGAGCTCCTGCAGGGCTCTCAGTTCAAGGGAATGGCGGATCCCCAAGAATCCTGGATCACAGGGATGGGGAGATCCCCAGGAATGCTGGTCCCAGGGCAGGTGGGGCTGGAGGACCCCCCCAGCGATGCCGGTCCTGGGGGTCCCGCAGGGCTCCCAGATCCAGGGAATGGCAGATCCCCAAGAATGCTGGATCGCAGGGGTGGCGAGATCCCCCAGGAATGCTGCTCCCAGAAGATGTGGGAGCTCCTGGAGCTCCTCCAGGGCTCCAGTTAAGGAGAATGGCGGATCCCCAAGAATGCTGAATCATGGGGTGGCGAGATCCCCGAAGAATGCTGCTCCCAGAAGACGTGGGAGCTCCTGGAGGTCCCGCAGGGCTCTCAGTTCAGGAGAATGGCGGATCCCCAAGAATCCTGGATCACAGGGATGGGGAGATCCCCAGGAATGCTTCTCCCAGAAGATGTGGGAGCTCCTGGAGGTCCCACAGGGCTCTCAGTTCAGGAGAATGGCGGATCCCCAAGAATCCTGGATCACAGCGGTGGCGAGATCCCCCAGGAATGCTGCTCCCAGCGGACGTGGGAGCTCCTGGGGGTCCTGCAGGGCTCTCAGTTCAAGGGGATGGCAGATCCCCAAGAATGCTGGATCACAGGGATGGCGAGATCCCCCAGGAATGCTGCTCCCAGAAGACGTGGGAGCTGCTGGAGCTCCTGCAGGGCTCCAGTTAAGGAGAATGGCGGATCCCCAAGAATCCTGGATCACAGGGATGGCGAGATCCCCCAGGAATGCTGCTCCCAGAAGATGTGGGAGCTCCTGAAGGTCCCGCAGGGCTCTCAGACCCAGGGAATGGCAGATCCCCAAGAATGCTGGATCGCAGGGGTGGCGAGATCCCCCAGGAATGCTGCTCCCAGAAGATGTGGGAGCTCCTGGATGTCCCGCAGGGCTCTCAGTTCAGGTGAATGGTGGATCCCCAAGAATGCTGAATCACGGGGTGGTGAGATCCCCCAGGAATGCTGCTCCCAGCGGACGTGGGAGCTCCTGGAGGTCCCGCAGGGCTCTCAGATCCAGGGAATGGCGGATCCCCAAGAATGTTGGTCACAGGGGTGGCAAGATCCCCCAGGAATGCTGCTCCCAGCGGACGTGGGAGCTCCTGGGGGTCCTGGAGGGCTCTCAGTTCAAGGGAATGGCGGATCCCCAAGAATGTTGGTCACAGGGGTGGCAAGATCCCCCAGGAATGCTGCTCCCAGAGGATGTGGGAGCTCCTGGGGGGTCCTGGAAGGCTCTCAGTTCAGGGCCTGGGCAGTGTCCGGAGGTCCGGCCTTGGTGGCCCCATGGCCCCACCCCCTGCCCGGCCCCGCCCCTCCGGGCCCCGCCCCTCCGGGCCCCGCCCCCTCCGGGCCCCGCCCCCTCCGGGCCCCGCCCCCTCCGGGCCCCGCCCCCTCCGGGCCCCGCCCCCCGGGCCCCGGCCCTGGCTCCTCCCGGCCGGCAGGGGGCGCCGCCGCGGCGCGGAGCCGCTCTGGCGCGGCGCCCTCCGCGGGCCCGGCGGCGGCGCGGGCGCGGGCCCGGGGCGGCGGTGGCGGCCGCGGCCATGTCCCGCCGGGGGCCCGCGCAGGTCAGGGCCCGCCCGCGGCACGGGACACGGGCCGGGGTGCGCCACGGGCCGGGGGACGGGGCGGGCCGCAGCCGGGCCGGGTCAGGGGCGCGCGGGGGTCCCACGGGGGAAGTGGGACGGGGGGTCCCGCAGGGTGCTGGGCAGGGGGGAGGGAGGTGGCGTGGGGTGGGTGCTGTGGGGTGACAGCTCGGGGGTGTCCTGGGGAGCTGGGCCTGGGGGTGAGGGGTACCCAGGGGAGGGGTGCTG